TAATGGGAACATTATGAATTAATCGGGTTGGCTGAATCCTGCGCTGTCCTATAATCTCATATATAAACAGCTTCTTGTCACACCGCTTATTTATCAAGTCTTGGGCCTTATGTGACTGATGACCATCATACTTTGGAGTCTTTGAATATCATCCCCAATGAGAACCTTGACTAGATCCTTCTTTAATCTAGACTTACTATCTACGAACTTAAATAGCTTAAGCCTCCCAGTCTCGTAACATTCCTCTAATTTCTGGATGGAGGTCTGGTAAAGTATTTCATTAACTGTGTCCGAATGACACATCATTCTGTTGCAAAACTCGGAAGCGATACCATAATGTTTGCAATAATTCAAAAAGGTCAAATGGCATGATTGACTTAAAATTGTCTTCTTTCTCCTTCTGTAATTGGTGCATTATTTAGCAATCTTAATTTCATAGTTAAATGGAAGATATGAAGACCAAGATAGTGTGATCTGTTGGATTGTCGCGGCCTCCTTTCATTGTATCGAAGTTAGTTGACCATGTCTTCACAACTTGGCCATATTGGCAGGACGGCCTAGAAGAACGCAACTTGCTCGGAGTTCAAAGTATGCGTGATGATTCATAGAATCGGACAGTGGACTTGGTACATTCGCAAACGTTTTGGCAGCATCGTCAATGATCCTTGCCATTCTTAGCAGCACATCACAACTTGTCAGAGACAAGAGAAGTCGATCATTAAATAATTGTCTGCTAAACAGTTGTGTTATCTCCCCTACTGTCCTGGATTATTCACCTAATCATGTCCCCGTATAAACGGCATCCATTCTTGTCAAAGATGATGGGGATAAAGCAGTGAAAATAATCTCAATCCCTATTGATTCCGAAACCATGAATCTTCTGAAGGAGTTAAATTATGCAATCGGTAGCGAAGGAAACAGTTTAGTAGAAATCAACATCTCGGAGAAATACCAAGAAAAGACCAAAATTGAGATGGAAATGGAATAAATTTCGAAAATTCTGTCCCATCAAGAGCCAACGAAAAGGAATGGATTGATGAAGAAACAAATATTACAAATGAATGACCAAATAGGTCTTCTGGCCGATAAGAGGCGCGACGGTGTTAATGGAGAAACAACTGTACACGGAGAAAATGGAAAATACCCTAGTCGATAGGAAAACGTATCAAATACTAAGAAAGGATCCAACAATGAAGATCAATAGAAGACTTAAGGAAATGCATAACGGCGAATTCGACAGATGGATGATGGATTCGTTAATAAAAATGACGCAAGACTACCGACACCCTGTAGACTACCGACACCCTGTAGACTACCGAAGATACACAAGGAAGATAAACCACTAAGGATAATAGTCAACACCAATCATAGAGCAGCACACAAACTATCAAAATTTATATGCCCAAAGCTTAAGAAAGTAAACGACTGACTCTATAAAACCATGGAGATTTCATATGAATTTTCTCAAAGTATCCAAAAAAATTGGACTGGCAGAGGCGAAGCCGTTGGTGAGTTTTGACGTAAAATCCATGTACACAAACGTCTCAGGCGAGAAGGCAGCCATTGCCTTGCTGGACGTCTTGGAACGAGAGTAGGATATGTTGGAAGCAAAGCGGATACGGAAGGAGTCGTTAACACGACTAATCAACCTGACGATAAGTACTACATATTTGCATTAAACGGCATTATCTATGAACAAATATGTGGACTATCGATGGGATCTCCACTCTCATCTCTTTGAGAAGATCTATACATGGACAGATTGAAGAAAGAATTCAAGAAGTCACCACTACAATCAAAGTTGCTTATTCAATAACTGGACGACTACTTTGCACTTTGGTCGCATGGCACAAAAAAATTGGATGAGTTCTTAAATTTTATAAACCAATTTGATGGAAGAATTAAATTCACAATAGAGGTGATGGAGGATAAACTACTACCATTCCTGGATGTTGAGGTCATTCGTTCCAACGGAATTGTCAAGAAACTATCCAGAAAGAAATCACATGCGCGAATAATATTCAATTTCTAGTCTCATCACAACTACAAATTAAAGATAGGAATAATGGAGAGTATAAGCATCAGAAGTTTAAGACTAACAGACAGTGAGTTATGGAACAAGGAGTTGGAGAGACGGACTGTGATTTGCCTTAGTAACGGATACCCCAGAGGAAGAAATATAGAGGTCAAAGAGTACATTCAAACTAGGATTTCATGAAAATAAGATCAGGAATAGGAAGGACCCAAAGTGGATACGCCTGCCTTCATGTAAACCAAGCCAAAAAATGTGACTGTTTCCAAAAAATGAAATACCAAGGTGATAGAAAAATAAAAGACAACATTCTTCACAAGCCTGCGGACGCAATACGACAAGTTTGACAAACTGGACCGCTCGGGAGTCTATATCATCAAATGCGGCAACTGTGATAAGAATTATAATGGTGAAACAGGAAGAAAAATCAGCCTATGAATTAAGGAACACCAAAGACTGCAGAAACATGCATACAGAAAGCTTCTAAATATTGGAACACGTTGTAAGGACGGGACACGAAATCGAGTGGAAATCGACAAAGGCTGACTTCATATAGTCAAAATACAAAACGTAAGATACGAGAAGCCATCGATATTCTGACTTAAAGAAATCTAATGAACAGGAGACTTAAGAAGGCAATATTGGCGAAAACATAGCATATTTTCTAAGCACGTAGAAGACCAGAGAACAGAAATATCAGCAAAGAGAAGACGACAAAGATCATATTATTAATTTTAGCAAAAGAAATAACAAGGATACCAGAGAGGAGGCCAAGTGGAGCCGTCTACAATGAGCCTATTCAGATCAAGTATAAATATCACATTTGGGGATCGGCATAAGAATGTCAGAGACTTGACATTATGAATAAAAGTGAGAAAAACGGTGGTGACTATTGATAGTTAGCAACTAGCAAATAAGTTTGTTCATAGACGTAGTTCATGAAATAAAGGCTTGACCACGAGATTTACTCGGCGCCTATTCCGCACAGTGATAATGGAATCTGCAGCGTCAAGTTAGGTTGCAATACCAGCCGGCATCGTCAGTGAGATCTGTCATTCTTCGCATCAAACTAAAAATTGTCTGACGAATTCTAGCTTGAGCTGGAAATAGCAAGACTCACTGACGATGCCGGCAAAACGTCTGGTAACATACCAAGTCCATGGTCCGACGCTGACAATTATGATAACTACTATAGCGGACGACTTCGGACAAGGTGCGTTCAGCTAAATCGCTCTGACAACACGAACAAGTTGCAAAAATGAGGTCAGACGACTGCTATATATGTAAAAGAGACTGCGACCATACTAAAGGCCACACCATCTTAATCGTCATATCTTCAATTATGCCTAAAGAAGATCTGAATTAAAAAATTAACACAATATTTAATGGAATAAGAAAAAACTTTTAAAATAGTAATACGAATTTAGAAAGATTAGGCGAGGAAATGTAAAATGTTAATTCGTGAATTACGGTTAATTGGGCCATCGGTTAATCTGGGCAGTTCTTTGCTTGGGATAAATATTATAAAACAAGGTCAACATTTACTTATAACCAAGTAAATAAGTGTAGGGTTAAACATTTTTACAAACAGTACACTTTGTCGTTGATACTTGGCGAAGATCCGAAAAGAATACCAATCTCCGATGAAAAATTGAGTTTAAAAATTATCAGAGAATATAAAAGATATAAGCTGTAAAATAACAGATAAATTAGCAAAAATAAGAACTTACTCTGGCTGAGGTGGGAAGTTCAATTGCTAGAGGCACAACACTGGCAAGAATACAACCATAGAAAGCCACAGTAAAACTAATTGGATCGTTGTTCAAGTATACTAAAGCGACCCGATCTCGAGGTTTAAGGCTAGCATCACCCCGATGACCAAGTTTGTTGAGTAGCATATAAGCAATGCGTGTAGCTCGCTGTAAAGAATCAGAAATATAAAAGATTTACCATTATAAAAAAACACAAAATAATTAAAATAAAAAGAGCTACTTGAAAGGAAGCGAATAAATATTCACATATAATATACAAATAAATAAATAAAATACTAAGAGAAACTGGGTGTCGATGAATCTCCTGATATATCATTATTGGGGGGACTTTCACTTAGTATGAAAGTGCATAAAGAAGAGATTCGAAGGTCGATCTAACTAGAAGAGGACGAATGAATCCCATTCTACTGCAGCCGTTTGTCTTTTATACGACATTCACGAGACTTCCTCCCTCGTTTCGAGTGAAAACGGCCTGAGCTTTCGTCCATTATATGATGGACATCATCAGATCTAAATCTCATTCCTGTAAGTCTCACGTTAACACTAGGGCAAGAAGACTGTCCGGTTCTATCTTATTTCTTATATAGACTTAATTAGACAAAATAAAATAAAAAACTAGATAGATATAGAGTGGTTCAGCTAATTGTCTTTCAAGCTGGTCCTACTACTTTTGCTCGAGTGTGTGCGTGTGTGTATTAGCGTCTATATGCAATACCGATCCCAAATCAGAATGCTCAAAAGGCTAATGTCAGACTCTGATAATCAAGGCTTAATGACCCATGAGAAAGTGTGTTGCGTATAGACATTAATACACACACACATGCACACAGTCGAGCAAAAGTAGCAGGACCAGTATGAAAGTTAATTAGCTAAGCTACTCAAATTGAGTCTATATAAGAGGTAAGATAGAGCCAGATGGTCATCTTGCCCTAGCGTTGACGTAAGACTTTTACGCAAATGAGACCCAGCTATTAGGTCCATCATAAAATGGACGAAGGTTCAGCCCATTTTCACCCTAAACGAGGGAGGTCTCGTGGACTGCGTCAACCTGAACATCGTATAAAAGTAAAACGGCTGCAGTAAAACTGGATTCATTCGTCCTCTTCTGGTGAGATCGATCTACGAATCTCTTCTTCATGCACTTTCATAGGAATGAAAGTCCCCACAACAAATTAATTAAACCAAGAAACAAAATAATAGATGTGGGTCGACCTCATTGTCGAAACTTGGTCTTGTTGTCAGAGTGACTTAGTATAAGTCGTCTGCCACAGTAGTTGTCATAATTCCCAGCATCAGACAGTGGACTTGGTACATTCCCAAACGTTTCGCTGGCATCATCAGTGAGTTTTGCCATTCTCCACACCAAGCTACGAACTCGTCAGAGACAAGTGAAGTCAATCCTTCCAAAGTTCTGGCGAAAACGGTCACACTATCACTCCTCTTTCTGTCCTGGCCTATCTATCTCATCTTTACCCTCTTATCGAACTCCCGCCCTATCACAACTTCTCACTTGTTTACATTCCACTTGTCAAAATGTGCCCTTTTGTGGCAAATCTGGTGGCTTCATCACACCTACTATTTACTCCAACCTCTTCTCTTTCGATCGGCTAATCCGACTCGGGCCTACAATCCGAATCCCCTCATTGTCTCGTAGATTAATTCATTATCTTTCTAGTTGACCGATTTCACTCAATTCCAGTCTCAGTGTGCATTTCACTTTATGCGCTATTTCTCAAGGCCATAGAAGCACGTACATTGCAGCCTCACCGAGCAGAGCGCCTAGGCTCACCAAACACCAAACCAAGAATGATAGCCAGCCGCAATCCTATCCACTTTTTATAACTTAATCTTTATATCCTAATAAGAAAAGGAATAAAGATTTTGTTAGCCACTTCATGCTTGCAGTTAGGCTAAGTTGATTCGAATGTGGCCGAATATTCATTTCCATCAGTAAATCGTTTGCAACATGATCCTGTAACGTTAATGTGTGATGCTTGATCATGGGCGTTATGCATGTACTCAACATCTACGAATGAACAGAGAAGTTAAGGTCGTAATCGGGCTAATCAAGCCTTGTCTTACTCAATGGTCTGCTTTGCTTGAGTAGATGTGA